TAACTGTAGTTTTAAGTTTTTTATTTTGGTTTTTAAATTTTAAATAATTATAATTAACAATTAAAAATTAAAAATATTAATTTATTAATTATAAAATCTTAAAACAAATACTTAAAACATAAAATTTAATTAATTTATAAAATTATTTAATTTTATTGTAGGATTTTAAAAATTTTAAAAATCAAAACTAAAGAATTAAAATTACAACTATATTAAACAGAATCTATATTAATAAAAAAAAACTATATAGTTGGCTGGCAAAAAAAAAAAAATCAGGTTGGCATCAATCAAGTTCTTTTTTTTTTTTGATAAATGACATCAATCAAGTTATTATTATTATTTTTAAACATTTTTGTTATAAGATCGGCTCGAACCGTTACCCTAAAGAAAGGGACATGAACTTTACAAACGTGGTTAGAGCTACTTGGCTCGAAGGGCCAGGTTCCATCAATCAAGTTATATGAGTACTAAATACTACGTAATTTCTAGAGTACAGGTTTGCCATGCAAGGGAAAAAGGAAGGTTCAGCATGTTTGATGTGTGGCTAGAGGTGGGGTGTTGCAATGCAAGGAAATATAAGGCAATTATAATCCTACTTGCTATTGCTAACGGGAAAGGGAACGGGGATGTTGATGTTGCCTTTGAGAATCTAGAGGCGGGTGCATACCACAAGGTCAAGTGGTAGAACCACTTGAACCGGTAGGTGGTTTGCAATTTGCATGCTGACTCTGCTGATCAAGAATGGAAAGTTATTAAGGAATAATTCTTTTTATATAATTTTTATATGCTATTAAATGAATAAATATATTTAATGTTATTGGTTTAAAAAAATAAAAAAATTAATCATTTAAATGGTATATAAAATTTATATTAAAAATAATAAAAAATTATTTCTAAATTATATTGCATTAAAAAATTGCTCTTATGCTAGAGAATCCCCAATGAAAATAACCTCATAAATAAGAATATATCCCCATGTTGTAATCTTTTTTTTGTTTGTTTGTTTGTTTAGGGACATTGGGACAAGTTGTAATCTTTGTTCTTAAGTACAAATATTTTAGTTTGATCAGATAAAAAAATTCATTACTCGTTTTTATTACTTTTCTTCTTTTATAAATCAAACAAATGATTTTCTAAAATGAAAAAAGTACTGTGAAATTTTATCTTTACAACACTTGTTATTTGATAGAGAGTTGACTTTTGATTTGATAGAGAGTTGACTTTTGATATTATGAGCTGTTTCCATTGAATAACTTTTATTTTGTAATTTAATGTGAAGGACTCTTCTTATAAATATATGAAAAATTGATCATTATTGTTAAATTCAAATTAATTTATAACTTTTGTCCTTCAGACATAAATTTGTTGGATCTATCTTATGTCTATTTTCTCTTCAGTTCAAATATTATGAAGCTATGGTAACTAAAGTCAAGAATGTTGTACCTATGATTTTAATAATTACAAAATACATTTGAATAATTAATTTATTCATTTAAGCATGTAGTTGAACCTTCAAAACATTGCAAAATTATGTGAAATTGGACTGTACTAAAAAGGACCAAAATAGGCTGAACAATATGTAAAAAGTTGGCTTAAAGAAATCTACAGCTGGCTTTGGAAGGTAAAAGTGTAGAGAGCCATCTCTAAGATTTGCAACTAGCTCTATTGGTGAAAATTTTAAATTTGAAGTTTGGCATGTGCGGAAAACGAATACAAAGCCAACTTTAACTTTGCAGTCGATTGTGATGGCTTATTTAATACACAACGGTTGAGTTATTTAAAAATTATTTAATGTTTTTAAAGTCAAAATCCCAAAGTTAGCTTTACATTTTGCAGCTTACTGTGCAAGAAAACAGAATATGTAAGAAACCCACAAAGTCGACTGTAGAACTTTAAGCCAACTGTACAGAGCCGGCTGTATAGAGTAGACTCTAGACTTTAAGCTGATTGTACTGATAATTTTACAACTCGAAATTACATAACCTCTATAGCATATAATGACCCCTAACGGTTAGAAACGGTTATTTTCGACTAAGGAGTTATAAATATGATTGATAGTAGATCTAAGATTAATTTTTAAAGCTCTGTATTAAATATCTCTATCTACCTACTTGTATTTTAACTTAAGTTTTTAATTTTTAAGTAATCCTTACTTGTAATTCTCTTTTTATTCTACTTGTGTGTTATTTTGGGAGTGTGATTATTCTTTTAAGAGTGATTTGTAAAGAGGATTCTTGGAGTTTATGGGATAAGATTTGAGAGAAACACCTATATTCTTGTAAAATGATTAAGTGGATCTTTTAAGCCACTCTTATTTTTCTTAGTGGATAATATAAAGGAAATTCTTGGTGAGTGGAGTCAAGGTAGAAGACTAAGTTTCAAGTGGTTTGATTGAATCTCTATAAAATCATTATGCAACCTTTTCTTTCCTATTTTTTTAAATTTTTATTTAGTAATTGCCAAGGGATGAAAATTTTACAACTCTAATTTACCCTAGTACATTGAGCCAACAAAGAAAAGTGGAAGAAATTTCAAACAAACAAACAAAGAAAAAGGCATTGTTGCTATTGTGTAACTTTCAATCTACAGTATTCAAATAAAGTAAAAGATTGAAGATTTAGGATGGGTGTGGTAATGGCATTTAATGAAATTGTTAATACTATTATATTTATATTTAATTTAATTAATATTTATATTTTTAAATAAAATTTTATAATATTAAAGACCATCCCTATCAT